TTGCAGCGTAGGCTTTTGATATGGCGACATCATCACAAAAAATACTACTGAACAAGCACTCGAATGGCTGTGGGATAAGTATGGAGGGGCTATTGTTGTGTTTAAATGATCAACAATCGTACTTCGTTGATGACATCTTATCGAGACTCGAAGGAGAGCACTCGAGCATCATTGGCTCCCTAGCTTCCCTCTGGGAATAATTAATTGAACAGGAAATCGACGGTATATCTGAATTCAAGAGTCCGTTGATACACTGTGCCGCCATTCTGAACACCGACCCGAAGACCTTTGAGCTTTCGTCGCCCAGTCAATTCAGCCACCTGTTGGTTGCAATAGTTTTTGCATCACGTATGAGGACGGCGATCTTGAGGAGTCGTGGGAGATTAGTATGCAATATCCGTGTTTTTGAGAATTTGAATGGGTATAAATCTAGAATGGGTGAATGAAAATGGACACGGACGAGCAAGATGATGAGGATTTCACTTTCGGCGGGGGTATACAGGCACTGGCCTTGCGCCTGTTGCTCTAGGTTCCCTTTTCATGCCTCAGGATGTCGATTCCATTGGTCCGATGAAGAAATAAATGCTCCAGACAAAGGATACGGCGGCCAGAGTCAAGAATGCGATGAAGCGGAGTGGAAGTATGAACAACTAAGTACTGGTATGTGCTTATTTTTCGTCTAGGACGCGTCCGTCCAGATAGTTGCGATCGCGGTGGTGATGATACGACTCAACGGAGAGTGAAACCCTACTTCTATCTTGGTGATACATACGAAGAAAAACAGGTGGATTGTGATGTAGAATTGATGTGTATCAGTTGTTTGTGATCGTATTATGGCTGGCCCTGAGTATGTTCAACTGCACTGTGATGTCGTCAGCCCCACAGTGCTCAACCCTACTTTACACGCGTGCATAACAGGTAGGTCATACCTTATCCGAACCTCATACAGCCAAGTGAATATAAGAACACCTGATAGCTCCGGCGGGCCACAGATGTCGTCCTCCCTTGTGATATTAATGCCTGGTTCAAAATGCGTCGGTCGACGCCTACTAAGAACGGTATGTGCTGGTTCTCCATGCCTGATTGGTTTTCTTGACTCCAAACAGCATATTCAACATGCCTATCCTCGTAAGTCCATTCAATCCTTAAAGCAGCATTGATAAGTTAGAGAAAGAAGTCTTCCAAATTTCCAGTCCAGTCGGGAACCACCCTATGATCTGTCCCGAGATACCGAGCTGCTGTCCGACCTGCATTAACAGCATATTCCGGCCAGCTCAGTTTTCAGCAAAATTGGTCCTAGGATCATGTACGAGGTTGAGTTAGAGTGCGGCTCAGCGCACGGACCCGGCGCTAGAGTAGTTTGTAATTCTTCGAGAGTAAACCTCCCCCCAACTTTCACAAATCTGACCGAACTGGTCGGTTCGGAACACTGGCATTGAAAAGCGTTGTTGTGTATATAAATGGCGATTCGGGGATGTGTGGTGCCTTATCTCGAGACAGTGCCCATCGGAAGGTCCAGAGAGATTTACCGCCGATGATCCATCTCTGTGGAGAATTATTCGAAATCTTCAGATGACAGAGGTTGCTGATGCTTCGGAACGTGCTCCGTTGTGACGGTAAAAGCTGCCAGTTTACTGTGAAGACTGTAGTAATTGTGATTAATCAACGCAAAAGAGCCGATAAGCAGTGCCGTGGTTGAGCACTCAAAACATATGTAAGTAGAATCAAGATTTAAGAAGTGATCCAGTGCATTATACCAGACTATCAACGCAGGATAGTCCATAGCAGGGTATTTTTTGCTGTGCGGTCTATGCGCCAACCATATCTAAAAGCCGTCTACAAACTAGACGCAGGATGACGATCCAAAGTTGAGGATAAGGATGGTTATGACGTGCATTGCGTTCATGCAAGATGATGATGCGACGTTGCAACTGCCGAAAAGTATGGTGTATGGGATATTGGAAATAGAACTGCATGCTCCCCTAAGCAAGGCAAATTGCACAAAGGTAGAAAGTAGTACGAGAGAATTGCATTGGCAGCGGTGAGAGTACTAGTGTGATATGTGAGCGCGAGGAATGACTGGAAGTGCCAATGCTGCACAGCCAAGGCGCAAAGGAAACCGCCGGCAGATCGGAGTAAACAATACTAAGCATGAAACCCACGACGATTCACTACACTCGGTAGGAATCAGGCGCCCCTCTGGGCTTGCGATGAGCGTAGGACCACGCTTTTATGTCGGAGTTTTGTACACGAACACACGCCAGCTACCTCTAGACGCATGCGCAGAACCAAGTATCGAACACGCGATCTATTCTACCAACAATAATCCTTCGTTGCACTTTCCACCCCCTTCAGGTTCACGTGCCCTTCCCACCACCATTTCTACTACATGGTGTTTAACAAATTCTATGGCGGGGCTCCTCAAATTTTTATCAAGGAGGCTGCATGCACTGCCGAAATATGCGAATTACGGCATGCTTCTTTCATATCATCAGGTCACACATCTGACCATCTAGGCAACTACACTGATCATCTCGACAAAAGTTTTTCAGCTGTCCGGGCGGAGTGCTTAATGGTTGCATTGAGGCTGAGCTCAACCTCACAACTTGGAGTTTATGTCGGGGTGACTTTTTATGCGAGGATACCATAAAGCTGAGAGGATAAGTTAACGTGTACCCGCCTCCGGCAGTCACAGTTCTGAATACACACTCATTTTTCCTTCTCAGCGAGATCTTTCAAATTCCCGACGACTTCATGGCAGGAGTTATATCCCTGGGTGCGAGCGTAATCACTCTTCTGCAGTTGAGCGAGAAGATTATATCTTATATCGGCGATGTCAGAGGTGCGAGAGGCGAAATTTCCAGAATTCAAGACGAATTAAAGGATCTGCCCTCTCTTCTTAGGAGATTGCAGGTGATGTTGGATCAAAAACCACCACCACCCGCGCTCGCAGACTGCATACACTCTATTCCAGCCTGCGAAAAAGTGATGAAAAGGATTCTTGAGAAACTGGAGCAGGCGGAGAAAAACCCACTGACGTGGCCCTTGAGAGAAAAGGACATAGTAAAACTCTCCAGCAGTATTTCTCGAATAAAAGTCACGATGAGCCTAGCCCTAAACATGGATGTTATGTAAGTACACATACATTCTTCTCCAAGTTATCAGTCACGGCAGCTAAGAATTATGTAGGACTCATATCCAAGGTATCGCTTACTGCTATCTTGTCCCGCTATTATTGTTACTTTGATATACGAATAGGTGCTTGATTGATTATATCTACGAGGCCTACAAGGCCATATATATACTCCTGAGTAGGTTCATCTTACAGCCGAGTGCCGTATCTCGGACCTCGGACCTCGGCGTGCGTGTACCCGCATGTCCGCATGCCCTACGGCCCCATTGAGGCTGATCTTCTAAGTATACATGTAACAATTATAGTGACCCTTCCAGACGAGTCATGGAAGAATACGCTGCGCGGACTTCAAGCTGTCAATGTCACGTCAAACTTTGATGCAGCCCGAGCTAAAGCTCATTCCGGAACTGGACGATGGTTTATCGATGGGGAAGACTTCAAGAACTGGATGTTTAAAGAACGGGCTCTGCTTTGGATAAATGGAATCCGTGAGTTCCCTGCCCTTGAAGAATATCTCATTCTAATCTAGACACCAGCTGGTTGCGGAAAAACTGTCTTATCGTATGTCTTCCTAGACGAAATTTTCACCATGTGTTCTATCATTTGACCAACGATTTAGATCAACAATTATAACCGCGTTGGTAGAAGAACAATCGTCCAGACTACATACGCCGGTCGGACAGCTATCTAGAGATCGGCACCTAGGGAAAGACTGCAGATACCATGGGGAGCTTACGATGCAACAACTTCTTCTTCTTGATTTCAAGTGAATTTGGTATGCCCCGTAGCCAGGTACTGGCTTGCTGTTTTTTTTCGTTACTAACATCATCCGCTGCTGGCTTGTCAACTCCTCCATGCCTCCTCCTCCACCAATGGATTCTATCCTCGACATCCACCACCCTTTCCGCCGACTAGCTTTTAACAGGACCGAATCCCTCCTCCTCCTCCTCGACTGGCGGCTCCGCAGTTCCCTTCGGTCCGTTAGGACCCTCTGCCAGCCGTGCCCCCTTCACTCCTGCAGGCTCTACACCCCCACCCCGCACGCTCTCTTTACTCCCCGCCTCCTTCAGTAAATCACCCTTCAGTCGATCTACCAGAACCTGCTTCAGCCCTATCACCTGTAATCCCCGCATCTTGAGTTCTGCCTTCAGCTCCGTCACTTTCAAACTCGTTATACAGCTCTGTCGATGTATCCTCAGGTTGGTCTCACTGCTCAACCACTTGCCACACCATGTACAAGGGTAATCCCCCACATTGTGCATGTCAGACATATGGCTGTTGTACTTGTTGCTCGGGATGATGATGCCGCATAGTATGCACTGGCTTCCGTGGAAGTGCACCTTGGCGAGATGGCTGTTCAATGCCGGCTTGGTCCCGAATACACTATTGCAGCCTTCGTACGTGCAGGGCAGCCAGTTGTGCCTCATGGCAAGATGCCTTTTGCGACCGTACTCAGTCGACAGTGTTGAACCGACTCTCGGTGAATCGATTGATTGTCTAAGTCTAAGATGACACGTAGTTATATACACTAGAGATCGCCAACCCTAACCCAAGGGGCACGTGATGACGAACTCAAAGAACTGTTCCAACACCATTGAAGTTTTGAACTGACGCCACTTAACATTCTGTAGCAAATATTGCATTGAAAACATTCAGACTCGGTGTCAAACTTCGCTGGGGGTGGTGGTGGATAACGGGTTCTTCCAACCTCCTCCGCATTTGTCGTGACACCAAAGGACATTATATAGGGCGCCGGTGATATCCAAAGTGGAGGTTGTTACACGGGAACAGGGATGCCACGTGGAAGAAAACTGCACTTTTCCTTTCTGTTTGGCCGTTTGAAGCGCAAAATTCCGGTTTGAGAGAAGGTTCCATGGTGTAATGGCTAGCACTTCGGATTTTGATTAAGATCCTTCCTAATTAATTTCTTCCGGTGATCTGGGTTCGATTCCCAGTGGAACCTGAATGGAATCAACCATTTTTTTTTTTTTTTTTCGCGCTGTGACAAGAGCAGTTTTAAATCGAGAGTTTCTGGGAAACGAGGGAGAGCCGCATCAGCCCTAACTTTTAAAAGATTCGTTTCTTTTCTTTTTCGCATGTGGTTTCCGACGCGTTGAAACACCCATCTAGCCGAAACCCTCCCTCCCTATCCCGGTAATTTTCAAGGAAAACGACCCGCTGCCGGAACCTTGCGTCACCTCAACCTCAACCTCTCTTCAACCTCCACATCGTCAATTCCCACCACCAACTACAATGTCCTTCACCCGCACCCTCCTCCCCCGTCTCGCAACTACTCGCATCATCTCCCTTCCCCGCACGCGACCCTTCTCCAGCTCGCCCAGAGTCAATGGTTACCCTCTTCCTCCCCTCGTCCCCCCACCACCACCACCACCTACTAACCCCCCCAGAACTAATCAAAAAATACACCCAAGACCACGAATGGATTACCCTCGACACCTCCGACTCTTCCCGCACCGGTATCCCCCCCTCCCCCTCCCCCCTCTCCTTATCCCCGCTAACACCATCAGCAACAATCGGAATAACAACCTACGCCGCCTCCTCCCTCGGCGACGTCGTCTACGTTGAGCTCCCGTCCTGCTCCACCACAGTCGAAGCCGGCGAAGCATTCGGTGCAGTAGAGAGTGTGAAATCCGCATCTGATATTTTATCCCCAGTGGCTGGAGAGGTGGTGGAGGTTAATACAAAGTTGAATGATAAGCCGGCGTTGATTAATAAGGCGCCTGAGGGGGAGGGGTGGATTGTGAAGGTTAAGGTTGAGGGAGTACAGGTGATGGAGGGGGAGGGACTTATGGGGGAGGAGGAGTATTTGGAGATGATTGAGAGTTCGTAGGGAAAAGAGGGGGGGAATTCAACTTCGATTGTAACGGTATTTGTTGGGGTTTCTTTTGTTTTGTATGGGTATAGGTACAAGTGGGATGAGATAGACTTTTCAACTAAGCATGGGTTTTGGGTTTGGGGGTTATGTGTGGATTGGGAATTATCAGTGAAACCAGACGCTTCGAATTATTGTTGTCGTTCCTCATTTTCTTCATCTACATACCTCCCCACTAACCACACTGCAAATAAAAAGGTAATGAAAAAAACGCCGTAACCCAGGAACCCCCGCCACCGCCGTACAAAAACCCCAAGCGTCCAGCCATAGTGCATGGAAAATAACAAAAAAAAAAAAAAGCATAAAAACGCCTTCCTGAATGTAATGTATATCCCCCCCCCCCTATACCCCACGACCGGCAAGAAACGAATACGGTCTTATCGGCGCCGGTTTCACCGCAACCACAGACTCCTTTTGATGATTATGTCTCCCCACTAGATCCGCTCCCGCCCCACCACCGCCATCATCCGGAACCCTCCGTTGTCCAAGCGCCATAGCCGCCCTCAAGCTACCATGTCCATTACCATACCCGCCTCCCGGAACCGGAGTACTACTCCTACTGGTAGCTCTCATCGTCGTCGCAGCTAGCAAATTCCTATCCCTTTCCCTTTCCCTCCCTCCTCCCGCCCCACCCAGATTTATAAACAGCAACAAACTCTTCAGATTCGCAAGCGTATGTCTGATATCCACGCAGTGCAATCCAACTTTACTCATGAGCTGTTGCACATCTTTATTTACCAGAAATACCGCGTATTCGAACCGGTAATATACCGTCCCCTTCATCCACAGCGGGAACGTCCGCGCACCTTGAATCACGGAAATATCATCCCTCACGAAACTGCGGCTTCCTGTTGCCTTAACGGGATACCGCAGCGGCGTGCCAAGGTAGTACGACAGGAGGTATATCAACTGCGCCACGTGTCCGAGCGCAGCAGAGACCGTCGCATCATCATAGTCTTCGTACGAAGACGACGGGAGGTGAAGGGAGCGGATTGTAAACGCGAGGGATTCCCCGGATGGGTGCGGCATGATCGGGTAGATTTCCATAAGTACTGCGACTATACGTTTCTGCTGCGCAGAGATTGCTTCTCGGGTTGAGGAGAGCGCGGTTTTACAGCGTGTAAGGCTGGATTGGTTGTCGAGGAGGTAGCGCTCCCCGACTGCTTGGGCTTCGCGACCTTTACGCATTGCGGCGCGGCGGTTGGTGAGGGAGTTGGTGAGTTCTTGGAGACGACGTTGCGAGGATTCGAGACGGCGGCGTTCGGTGGTGACGGCTTTGCGGACGGTGGAGGCGTGTTCGCGTGCTTGGTCGACGGCGCGGGGGAGGGTGAGGGCGGTGGATTCTTGGGTGATGAGAGCGGAGATTTGAGAGGTTAGGTGGGAGGTGGTGGATTCGGCGTCTTGGATACAGTCGGAGAGGTTGTTGAGTTTCATTAACGCGTCGTATGAGGATGTTGTCTACCCCAGTCAGTCAGTCAACGCCCCCGGGGGTGGGGTGGGAGAGGGGGAACAAACCATCGCTGCGCCCTCCGTCACTAAACTCCCCGGCTCCACCGGCGGCACCTCCGGCGGCGTCTCCTCGTCCCAAAAACTTGTATAACACCCATCACTCAGATACCACACGACACAATTCGCAGGCAGCGGTTTCCCCCACGACTCCAACGTTCTCCCCAAAAACGTCAACGCAGCAAGCTTCACCTCCGCCTCTACTGCAAGTGTCCACCCCTCCCCAAAGTCACACCACACCTTCACAACCACATCGTTCCTCCTGCTAACCACGGGATCACACGCATTGAGATCAAACGGCTGGAAATCGGGATTCATAGTCTTCTCCACCACCTCACTGATATACACCACCTCCCCCTCCTCCGCGCCGGGTACATGCAACGTGAAGAACACATCTCCGCGCCTCCCCGCAACAACACCTTCCCATCTCCGTAGCTCTCCCGGGCGAAACGTTTTCGTTGAGCGTCGGCGTCGCTTCATCGCCTCGCGCGGATCAAGGTATGCATTATCGTGATCGTCGTCGTTGTCGTCATCGTCGTCGTCGTCGTCGTCGTGCGGCTGCGGTTGTTGCGGCTGCCGCTTCCCCAGATTTCGGAGAGAGATACTAGAGAGATTCCGTAGTCTGCGGTTCTTTAATTATTTGCGCTTGCGGTTAGCTTTTAGCTAGCTCTGGGTGGCTGGGTGGTTTGTGGGAGGGTACAGTTGGTAGCAGCAGCGACCGCGGTGGTCGGTATACTGGCGCTGTATCGTAGTCATACAATCCGCCGTCGCTACCGGACGGCATCGCGGTGGGTTTGTTGTAGGGGCAGTGTGTGATGTGGTTGGATGTGGGAGGGTTGAGGATTTTTCGGGAGCAGAGGTGAAATTAAGCTTCATGCAAGGTATCTCGACAGGGGTTAGTGCCGAAACGTAACACACCACACACACGCGGAAAGTTATGTTGCGTACGTCACATATCACTCGGAATTTGAAAGAGTGAAATGCTGCACAAAGTACAATTGTTCGGACAAGATTGTTACAGGTTTTTTTCAAATACCCAACAGTCGGCGGAATCGTCAATATAATCTGTTCTGACGGGGGGGGGGCTTTTGTAACGCATGACGTGGCGTCCGAACCATTGTGCTCGGTACAGTATATCAAATCAATCACCTCAACAGCCCGAGGAAAAAAATGAATCATATAGTGGTTTGAAGAAAAAAAAAGAACCACCGCAAAGAAAAACCTGCGTCTCGGGACTCGGGAGCCTGGGGTCTTATTCCCGACTCTAAACTCCGGCAACACCCGTCATAATGACCATCTCTCTCTCGGGGGACTTCGGAGCTTTCTAGATCTGATCTCAATCCCTCAACCTGGCAAATTTCTCAGGCCAGCGGAAGCTAAGCAAGCCCTGTGGCAAAAACCCTGATCTGAACCCCAACCAAACGGATATCGCGATTACGCTTGAGGTACATATATATTTGATTGATTGATCCCGTCCATCAGCAAGATTTGGCTTCCGCGAATCTGCATTAGCAAGGTAGGTTTTCCGCGAATCTCGGGCGGGTAGGGGATACTTCCACGATTTCTTTTATCTAGCCTTTGGGTTCATAGTGTTATGTGTGATAGATCTACACCCGCTCTGGAAAAAAAAACTCACAATTCCGCCCAACCTCTACCCGTGAAACTCCCTCTTTCCCAGGCCTTTTCCGTTCGAGCTCGCAAGCTCTCCATAATATCAATAACCTCCACCATTGTCAACGTCACCCACCATCTTTCCACACATACTCACCTCACCCTTACCTCGGGGGGATCCAACAACTTTGGGGGTCACAGAGCGTCAAAAATTCCACAATTCCACCCCATTTACTTCTCCCATATCATATGCACCCCCCCGTTGTGGATCTATCCATGATATCGCTGAACCCCCCCCCCCCCACATACTCCGATATATCCCCTATATCTCAAGGTGCGGTCGAATATCGCGATCATGATGGAGTGTAGATAAGCTTCAAGCTTCTACACTAATCACTCCCATGGCAAGGTTGAGGTACCTAGCGAGATGAATTACTGACTCCGGCCCTGGGGTGAAACTGATAAAGCGAGGCGACACTTCCCTTCTCTAGTACTTCCTACGGTGGATACTTCCCCAAACTTCTAAACTCCCTTTTTAACATTCAGGTCACAGAGCTACTTCCATTCC